GGAGGTGTCCCAAGTGCTCTGGGGTGTCCCTTGGCTGCCTGGGAGACTGGAAACCGGCAGGGGAGTCCTTCTTCTGGTCTTGTGCCCAAAGGCCACTTCTAAAAAAGGAAATCCTTCCAAGGATGTTATACACTTAACCTACTGAAACAGCCTAATTAACAGACAGATGGTTCTTATTTCAAGGCAGGAAATCATGAGCAGAAAACTAAACACAGAGAACATGAGCAGAGCTCACCAAGGGTCAATGCAGGAGCTAGAAACAAAAATCTTTTTCCCTGCTGTCCTTGCCCTCCATGGAGTCCCCCTCCGAGGGGTCAGAGGACAAGGCCTTCTCCTGGGCAGGGCTCAGTGGGCCTCAATCCCCCCACCTGGGAGATCTGCATCTGGCCAGGGCTGGCTCTGGGGTCCTGCACTCCCCTACAGTCAGAGAAAGGGGTCATATCCCCCATGGACAGCGGCCCCACCTGCAACCCACTGAGCCTGGGGGAGATGGGCCCAGCCACCAGGGTCCTAGGTGGATCTGTGCCCACTCTGGGAACTCTGGCAGCAGGATGTGGCCTTTGACGAGCCAGTGCACAAACAAGGTGCTGTGTGGCCCTGTCTGTGCCGCTGGAGTGACAGGGAGCTCAGCCATATCAGCCACAAGCAGGACCAGGCAGAGTGGCCGTGGCCCCCCTCTTCACTCTGTGTGGACAGGGGAGCCCCCAAGCCTTTACAAAGGGCCAACCGTCCCTACCAGAAACGGTCATTTTGCTAAAAGCAGGTGTGTAACGTAGTATTAAAAAAAAAATGTTTTTTAAACGTTTATTTATTTTGAGAGAGCGTGAGCAGGGGAAGGGCAGACAGAGAGGGAGAGGCACAGAGAATCCCAAGGAGACTCTGTGCTGTCAGCGTGAGCGTGACTCGGGGCTCAAACTCAAGAACCGTGAGATCGTGACCTGAGCTGAAATCAAGAGCTGGACGCTCAACCGACTGAGCCGTCCAGGCGCCCCTAAAATGTCAGACGTTTTTACTGCCAGCGCCAGTGTGTGGACAGCTCCCAGGTCTCCCTGTGTACCCACCGTCCCCCAAGCAGGGGCATTTCCTCAGCAAGGGCTCGCACCATACCCCAACCCTCTCCCCGGGAGCCTGCCTGCCTGGGTTGGGGGTTAGGGGTCCCCTGCAGCTTGGGGCCCTGTTCCTGTCAGACCCTCAGGAACCTTCTCCTTCTTAAGAGAAAGCTCTGGCTTGGGAGCGTGCACCCTGCAGCCTCTTCCTCCTTGCTGGAGCCCCAGGACCGGGCAGAGGGACCTGAGCACAGTGCTGCGGCGTTGCAGGGGTGCACGGGGCAGTCAGCGTGCAGTCCTTTCCCTGCCCGGTCCTGTGTGCGTGCCCACGCAAGTGTGTTATCCTGTGTCATCATCCCAGGCCCTGTTGTCACATGGAGAGGAGGGTGCAGAGGCCTGCAGCCAGAATCTGGGGTGAAGTGGGGCCTGCTGACTCAGGAAATGAGGGAGGGGCCACCAGACACCCTGAGAATGGGCGTCTTATCGGTGCCCTGAGCACACGCCTGCTGCCATGCTGACCCCGGACAGGTTGGGGCCTGCACCCTCTGGGCACACGCACTGAGTGAGCCACAGACATGTGGACCTCAGCCCAGAAAAAGCCCCCAGCCTGACTCTGTACCTTGTATGTGCTGCCCAGGCCACAGTCACAATGAGAAACGTCATCAGGTAGACAGCAATCCTGGTTGCTAGAAGTCTCTGTATACTTTTGTCAAACTGGAGGAACAGAAAAGCATCACCATCAGAGACCACTTCAGTTCATGGCAGCCGGCGGCCCCGTCCAAGGTGCCGAGTCCCCAAGGCCTCTGAAGGGTCTGGCGGTTCCCACCTCCCCTTCTGGTTCAGCCTCTACCCCAGCCCACCCTGAGGCTCCTCTTCTGGGTAGCCTCCCCGCCTCCCCGCTGCACAGCACCAATGCCCCGTGTCCTGTCGTGCGTATCTGGGGATGCCCCGTGTCCCGTCGTGCGTATCTGGGGATGCCCCGTGTCCCGTCGTGCATATTGGGGGATGCCCTGCATCCTGCTGTGCGTATCTGGGGACCTGGTGTGGAGCTCCCGACGCGCCAGCTCTCGGGGTAGAGAGTCTTTGCCGGGCACTCCCGGGCCAGCACAGGGCACCAAGCGCACTGCAGGTAACCAATTCTGAAACAGCTGTGAAGCCTGGTGAGGTCGCGGTGCCCCTCGCCCCGGTCAGAAGGGACTCACAGGTGCAGTGGGGAAACAGAACCGGGCTCAACACAAAGCTGGGACCCTTGGAATCGCAAGATGGGATGTGATGCTTTGTCAGCAAAAGCTCAAAGTGGAAAACTGACCGTGTCACCACTTTTGCTGGTTTTCTACTTGCATCAGGGGGTCTCACCCAGGACCCCACTATCTCACCGAGGACTCACAGCTTTTGACTTGCTGGGTTTCCCGCCCTTGACTAGTCTTTCCCTCCACATGGGGAGGAGTGCCTGCTGGCTGACACCTCCTTACGGCCCTGGGCTCCCAGAAGGAGTCCCCGGACCACCGCACCACCTTCTGGCTCGGTTCGTGCACACGGAGACCTCACAACAAGGTGCCGCTCTCCAAGAAGACAGGCCCAGTGCAGACAACTGGGGACAGTTTGTCCAGACACCTCCCCGTGTCACCTCCCGGCATCTCCTGCTCGCACAGCCATACCCCTTGTGACAGTGGCAGCACTGAGGTCTCCGACCTGGCACGAGTGTCCTCCAGAGGGGTTCTGGAGCTGGTGCAGTCAGGCGGGTGCCCCGGCACTCCCTCCCCCCAGCTGCTGTCTGGGTGCTGGCTGCTGGTTCCAGGCTAGACCCGCATTCCCATTTCCTTCTCCTCAAGACCCTACCAGGGGTGCCGTCGCCTTCCCACACATGACGCGGCTCTTTTGACTCCCAACAGCACCCCGGCTAAGCGGGCCAGCCCCGGAGTCCAGCGCCCAGCTGTGCTGCGGGGCCTGACAGACCCAGCACCTCACATCCTCCGTCCCCTGAGACTGAACAACACCCCCGTCCACTGAGGGGCTGAGCGAGGCACACTGGTGCACGCATGATGCCCAGGGACTTTCAGGCATCTTCCCAAATCTGAGGGAATACGCCACCACCTAACTTACAGGACAGAGATGTTCCAAGTTGGCTATAAAGGGGAAACTGCTTCAGAGAACCTGTTTCCCACTTACTTCATGAGAAAAACCCCGTGTCCCTGTGCTTCAGGGAGGCCCGGCTGGGAGCATCTCCCCTTGCCCCCTGAACGTGTAGGAGGGATGCTCCGGGGGTGACAGGGTACAGGTCTCCATGCCAACCAGAAGCTTGTTGGGCTGCCGGACCTTCCGTCCTCAGCCGACCCCTAAGCTCACTTCAAGGGCACTGCCTCTGTCTGCAGGCCAAGGTTAGGGCCGACCAGGGCTGCTGAGGGAAGAAGACCTGGTCCCACCCCTCCCAGCCAGGCACGTCTTGGGTGGAGCCTAGAAGTGGGCTCGTGGACCGAGTCTTCTGTAAGCTCACCCTTGATGCCGCAGACCACCGTTCCCAAGTACCTGTTCTGGGGAGATCTCCGTGTGGGTCACAGGCAGGATCTACGAAAGCAAACACACAAAAAGAGCCATGGGACATTGCTTGGGCTGTGCAGAGACCACCCCTTGAATGACGTGGTGTCGGGGACTCGGGCCAGTGCTGGACTGCTTCCCCCACCCGTCCAGCTGCCCAAATGGCTGATGGACCCCAGGACACTGCCGAGACAGGGCAGGGTCTATGCTGGGCTGAGCTCTACCAGAAGGTTGTCTGGAGAGGGTGTGGCCAGGGGCCCTGATGGGAGAGGAGGCTTGGGGGTGGGGGGGCGCGGCACACGGACCATCACAGTGGCGATGATGGACAGGAGCGCATCACTGAAGCTGAGCATGCGTTGTGAGTGCTGGATCCCGTCGGCGGTGTCCTCGCCCCCTGTGCCTGTGGGGGAGTCTCCCTGTGTGCGGCGGGCCGGCTCTGGGGTCTGCGGCCCGGACATGGTGGGGCCTGGGAAGAAGCACAGGTCTGAGCAGGCCAGAGTGCTCCTGGGGGGCCTACCCCTGCCAGCTTCAGTGGTGGCAGACACAGGGCGGACCCGTGGCTGGAAGGACCCACCCCGAGGGGCAGGAAGGGTCCCTGCCATGCTGTCCTCTCCCAGGAACCCCGGTATTTCCAGCTGGCAGGAAGAGCACCTCCTCACTGCTGAGCACTGTCATCTGGGAGCCATGCTCTGTGCCTGTCCCCCCCAGAAGTGGGAGAAACGAGAAGGCACACACACATGATGGGTGTTCCATCCGCTGTGTCACCGCCTGAAACCCCTGACCCCAACACCAGACACCGTGCCGTTAGACACTTTCGTCCTAAACATGGGGTGTTCTCCCATCTAAGTACCAACCAGACCCAACCCTGCTTAGCTTCCGAGACCAGGCGAGACTGGGTACGTTCGGGGTGGTATGGCCGTAGGCCAAACGCAGGATGTTCTATGGGACCAAGTCCCTGAGGCTTGCACTGAGACAAAGTGCCAGCCCTCACCATGACAAGACAGAACAAAAACACACCCCACCCCCAGAACCAGATAAAGAAGGCTCACTGGCAATTTCTGGGCAGGAGAAACAAAGTGTGAATAAACAGAAAGGATATTCAGCTTCATTGTCAACCGGGGAAAGGCAAGTGAGAACAATGAGGTACCACTAAGGTCCGCAGAAGTCCACCAAGAGTGGCGAGGCCATGAGGACACAGGCTTGGGCAGGGGTGGAGACCACACCGCGACATGTACACCCACAAGGTGGCAGCTGCATTTCTAGGTGTAGCCTCTAGGAAACGGATGCACACGAGTGTGCCGGTGTGTAGTTTATTTTAATGTGTCACCCAGCCTATTATTGAACGCTAAACGAATTGTTAAAAAGTGCTACGAAGTGAACGTTTGTGTCCCCCAAAGCCCTATGTGGAAGCCCTACCCACCCCATGGGGTGGCGCCAGCAGGGGGGCCTTTGGGGGGGATGAGGTTAGATGAGGTCATGAGGGTGGGGCCCCAAGATGGCACGGGTGTCCTCACAGATTTGGGGGAGAGGGGACAGGTGTCTCTGTCTTCTGTGAGGACACAGCGAGAAGGTGGCCGTCTGCAGGCAGCCACCTTGACCTCAGACTTCCAGCCTCCAGAACTGTGAGAACGAAATGTCCGTCGTGTAAGGCTCCAGCCTGTGGGCTTTTGTGAGGGCGGCCCGAGCGACCGACACAGGAAGTGAAGTGAAACAAAGCTACGTGTATAAAACTCAGAAACGCGATGTTGAGAGGAATAAATGATGCCGCAAGAAGATACACATACTATTATACCACTTATGTAAACGTTTAAAACACACAGACCATCTGCTCCCCTTGTGATCACACACACGAACAGTAAGACAATGGAAACATACGCAATAACAGCACTCACCAGCTCAGGACAGCCCTGTGATCACCTGGGCGGGGGCGGGGGGTGGGATTGCGGGGGGCTGGGCTGGGAA